TTAAAATGCCGTTTACTCGGTGCATGCTTTTGTACCTGAATAGTGAGCTTTGATGAGATTCAGCGTTCCATCCGGCTCCCCATCAGCTTTTAAGACGGGTCAGAGGCAACCTCTAGTGACTAAGTCAGATAGTATGCAAGCGTCTCTGAGGAAGGCTAACATTGTTTTTTGAACTTTTAGCGATGTCTTAACCCCTGCATAGCATGAACATTCGATAAGCAAAGTCTCTTCCTACAGGTAAGCCTCCCTGATTCTCTCTGATGTGGGACACTCTTGGTTCTCTAGGGTGACTCACTGGTAGTACAGCAACGAGACTTGCTGCATTACTCATCAATATGATACCGTATTTTTCATTACAACTTGTTATATTGTGGCTTTGTGTATTTGTAGTAGTACAGAATAATCTTAATCTAACTGAAAAACTGTGGTTCCTAATGTTGAGTAAAAACTTGTGAAGAGACCTTTTGTCAAAGAGGCTATGTCAGTCTATTGGCCCTCTAGTAACATGGTTTAGACATCTCGGATAGAAGCTTTGTAATTCATCATGTAATTCGTAAAGGTTTTATTGTCAGCGGAAGAGGGGTGACGGCATAGCAAGCCGGATTTTTCGGCTTCTCCCACCAGACATTTTGTCACAAGTTTCAAGATAAAAGTCAGTTTTCGGATATTTTTTCGACCAAAACAGCCACAAATCAGTCAAGAAAGTATGCAAATAATTGAAAACATTCGCAGATATTTCCATGCTAGAAGTCACTTCTTACGAATAATGTGTTACATTTTTCCGGGATGGGAGTGTTGTCTGGTTCACCTGGACAGTTTGGTTAGAGAAGATGGGTATCCCTCCTAAAGATTCGCTAATTACAGCGCCGAGATTTTAATCTATAATTCAGCAAGATGTCCTGCTGTTAGGGCTTTTTATTTTTAGCCGAGACTCATCGACAGTTTAACTCGTAGAAGTAGCCGCCTGGTAATAAACTTGCTGTTATTGCATCCAAAGCGTGTGGACGTTTTTTGAGTCTTTAAGGCAGCCCATGGAATCTCTTCGCTAGGTTTCATTTTGTACTGGGTGGTAAGATAAATTTTGAAAACCACTTTGTGAGTGCATGGTCCGAACGGAAGCTGCTTATTGAGTTTGACACAGGATCTAGTTGTGCAACCGTCAGCGGAATACTGGAGAAGTAGATACTACCTAAGACGTTCTGAACGTGTGTTGGATCAAAAAGGTTGACTGAAAACAGCACAGTTAATTAAACGACTCCCGTTTCTGCAACATTTTCTCCAGCCTGACTTTCCAAGGACGTGACATAATGTATCGGTTAAGGCCATATTTCTCACACTCTAGTTGTCAGCAACCAAAAACTCCGAGGTCAGGTGTACGGCTCAATTTACAATTGCTCTTGGCATATATGTTCAATGGAAAGGATGAAGCGCAGATGGTTGTGGTAGACTCGCGAAAGAGTCTTCAAAACAAGCTACTGACAACTTGAGAGATAGTGGCTCCAGAGAGATGGTAAGGTGTTTCTAAAATAGTTTTACTGGCAAAAGCCACACCATTCGGACCTGAGTTATTATGAGGCCTGTTAAAGTACAGCCAGCAAAAAAATTTCATTCAGTGCAAAGTGACTCCAAGAATTCATGTCTCTAATTGGTTGCAGTGTTAAATTGGTAGTGAAGTGGTACTCGTATGATGTGATTCTGGCTTTTCACGTCAAGCAGAGTACGGATATCTCAGAAGCATTATTGTGGAGCACTCTTGACTTTGAAAAAATGAGGGAGGCCCATTTGACACTTTTGCCACTATGATTAGCATCATTGCACCAAAGCAAAGAACGGACAAATTAACAACGGAAAATGCTCGCTTCACAGAAAGGTCGGCTGATCTGCCAGTCAAGCAACTGCAGCGAGGCAGCACTGACGAATTTCCAAAGTTTGGTCAAGCCGTACACGCTTGTTAGTTGGAGAGATTGCAGTATACGTATTTTCAGTAAGGGAGTGTTTCAAAAGCATGTGTCACCACACCTCACAAGCAATATTGAAGTGATGGTTAGCAATGCAATATATAAGAGTATAGTTAACAGAATGTGTAGATTTACACTGTCGCTGCTTCATTGCAGTTGTTACGATAGCTATACTGGTGATACAGCAGCATGAATTTGCATAATTGCAGCGCGTCTCAATTGGTTTTTGTGACAGAGACCAGCAGCAGCCCTATGTATTTACAAGACTTTTACCCATTCTGCACTGTTGATAAACTACCGTGTTCACGCCTAAATCGTGGACGTTGCCGTACAGCAAAATAAAACCAACGGACACACTGAAGCCGTAATAGGCAACTGAAGTCGATATGCTTAGGCTGACTCGGATAGACTGTGAATAACAATGACCAATTGTCATGAGTAAAAAAAGAATCAGCCGTAAAACTGTTTATCTACAAGATGAAGAATTAGTATCAAAAGTTTAAACATGGCACATAAATGTACGTTGGTGATTTGGTTTTAAAATAAGCCCCCTAAGTTGCTCGCCTCTAGGATTTTCGTAATAATGCACAAAGACTTACATACGTTTAAGTGCATTTTTCCTGTTTTTCTAACAAGCTTGACTTAGCCTAACTAATTCATATAGTTTTTTCCACTTACAGGACTTTGGCGATAACAATAGGACAAATGCATGGGTAGCTGTTCTAGCGGCAAATTTCAGTGACGGGTAAAATTATCACAACAGATATTCATTGTAATTCAAAGGTGTATATGAGGGAATAACAATATACATGATTTACCTTAGCCCTCACTTAGATAAAACAGTGGTTTCCACAGCGTTTAGGTTAAGAGGGCCGGCTAAGTGGATTGCGGCTATTTAGGCAACTCATGAGTATGAATTATTGCCTTGGCTTATTGCACATGTTGTAGCTTACTAGCTTGTGAAACGTCTAACTAAATGACAAATTTTAAACAGTAATCGTTAATTTCTGGTGTTTTAGTAGATATCCTAGTAAACCTCTTCCTCAAAGTCCTTTGGATACAACCAGGTAACCAGAAAACCTAAATGATCTCAGTTTGTCCCTGTTTGTAACCATATTGTTCCAATCAGCATTATTTGGGAATAATACTGTCTGCCTTAGTTTGATGGTTGATTCGACGGGCTATTGTATCTATTAACTTTAAACCATACCATGTTTTGAAGAAAACCATCAGCTTGCTTCCCCTGCTGTATCGTTCTACGGCTTCACACTGTTTGATAAAATCCATGGGAGGCCAATAACATACTTTATATTCTCTATATTGGTTTAGGTGCCTACCATCTGTCGGACACTTGATATGTGCTCAGGTTTATTTGCATTACTTGGACGCCGAAAAGCTTGTTTTTATATCTTTGTCATTAATCAGCAAGGACCTTAAATAACTTTGCTCATACATAAAAGGGCATAAACGGCAATTAACCAGTTTTGATCCGTTTAAAACCTAACTTCTCAGAGGCTACTGAGAAGAAAAGGGAATTCAATGCAGTCACATATCTACTCGATAAATCTTAGTATACTAAACCAACTCGGCTGTTTTACTTCTGTATATTTTTGGTGCTTGGTATGCAGTATGAGGATGCGTAGATCAAAGATACCTCTACTATTGCTGGAGGAACCAAAGAATGAGTAAGTTTGCCTCCACCAGGATAGCTTGCCCATAATACTTACAACGCTGTAACATCATCAAGCAAACCAAACAGGCTAAATTTATTTAGGGTGGCAATCATCATCCAAGGTAACATTTCAAAACTAATTATTAATGAGCAACGGACTTTGGAACTAAAATGCTAAATGCCGATACAGGTCAAAGAGATAATTGAATAAACAAGTCAACAAAGCTGAAAAATGATCGCAGATGAAAAAATAGCTGTGCACATATACTGCGGACGTCGTAAACTTATCTATGATTAATAAAACAAAAGTTCATCTAAATAGGATACAAAAAGTAGATGGCATTGCTCAATTTAGTGGACACAGACGAAAGAAAAATTGAACGGAATTTCGGACTACAAAAATCAGAGCCGACAGACAACAACTTAGGGATACTCTTTATCGCAAACAGATTTGCTAACGTAGCGAGAGTATCAACAAGGAATAAGACCACCAATGGAATTACATTACCCAGGCTCGAACAACCGAATTACAACATGAGTTATACTTCACAACAGCGTTAGATACACAAACATGCTCTTCCTTTTTTGAGTGACAATTACTCGGTAATGCAAGAAAGACTTTTCAGTGACATGTTTATCATACGTCCGGAAGACCCTGAGATCGATGTTAGTACAAGAAATAAAATCCAGCTACCGATAAAAATCTTCCCTTTAGAGTCATTCATTTAAATGTACAGCCTTGAGATGCATATTAAACAAGTTCCTAAATGTAACTCAATGATGAATCTGAAGAATAAGCACCAAAATTCGGATTCCTTAGATTACATCAGACCCAAATAGGTGAATCGGTAAGCCGTCCATCCTAAAGAGCATGGCCTTCGCTGAGAAAATTTCCAAAACTTTGGTGGTACTTCTGTGCACATAAACATGACCCATTCTGATAAGGCCTTGGTGATTACAGACCGCTTCCTATAGGGGTGATGTTACCCAGTATACATTACCATGTGTCGATCGCTTGGATAAAGAAAGTGAATTTATTCTTTCATAATAATGGCGTGAACCATTCATAGCTTTTTCCAGTGGTAACTGTTACACGATACTCGGCGAAGTGGTTCCCGATTACTCAATATTGCGAAACCGGGCAGATGGATTCCGCCCGAAGTTTGTCAGCTTCGTCTCAGAATTCTGAGAATAATGCACCTCGAATGATGCCTGTTGTGCGGCAAGCCTTCGCAATAGAAGTTTTTTGATCCAATTTTTCTCCTGCTTTCACAAAACTGAGCCTAAAGCCGAATCTGATATAAGATATTTTTGTAAGATTTGAGGGTTGGAACCACAGCTAAACGCATAAGCCACAGCAAATAACTCACCTGATAGGATACGTGCGCACCTCCTCAGGTGTACAATAACAGCAATTATTGGTTCACTATCCTTGTTCAAAGCGTCAACAATTTGAAACAATTTCTGGTGTTTTATGTCAATGATTTCAGCATGGCTTCCGGGATACATGTCCAAAATGTTTCGACTTGAAAATGCTCATGTGCAAAAGCAATTTACCACACCCAGTCTGCCGACGCTGAGTTTCCACAATCGACTGCATTTTTAGAAAACACAACAAACTTCATGTTGCTTGAAATGACGCCAAAGATGAAGACCTTCAAAATGAAAGTCTTTGCATAACTTCATCCGACTATCTCGATAGTTTTAGTTCCTAATCATAGGGCTGACACGTGAAACGTTTTCCGAATTTTCTCCCAGAAACTCTCCAAGCATGCTGCACACAGGCTCACCACTGAGGGCAATCGAACAACACACCCTATGCCTGCTAAATTTTTCCTCCATTTTAGCAGTCGTTTTCTCAAGTTCTATATCAGGGTAGGCTTTCATGGTAGCCGCAACGTGTGTTTACAGAGCCGTAATCTGGGAGCGAAGTTCCCCATAAATAACAATACAGATCTATAACAAGAAAGCAGCCAGTTGGCAGATATTGAGGTAGTGAAACATTAGGATCTTTAGATACTCAACAGATTTCCAGCTTGGGGTTACGAATTCCGTCTTCCATTTTTCCCTATCTTATTTCATCTTTGTTTGTTTGTGATAAGCGCGTGTTATTTTTATATCCTCCTATGGCGCTTTTGCTTCCTCGAACTGAGAATCAACATTCGAAATTGTTGCACAAAACCATATGCTAATGTTGATCCCATCTGCTCCATTCCCGAATTTTGGAGATGCCCTCCTACGTTCCATAAATTCGGTGTTTTAACCTTCTATGCCAATCGACGCTAAACACCTTAGGTGGCAGCTGATTTCAAGCTTCAGCCACTCACTGACCGAAAAATGCGTACCGCTGCACTGATTCGTTCTTTGGTAAGGATCCATCGGTGTTCATTTAACGCGTCGTGCCTTCGAACGAAAAAGGGATTATGTGGGGTGAAAATTTCGAAAACCCTAACGACTTTGATTATCTTTTCTAGGCTATCCCTTATTCTATTTACCAGAAGGTAACGGTATCACAGTCTACCCTAATAACGGCGGACATTCATTTCTGCCACCATCCAGGTTGTCTCTCTTTGTGCACCCATCTAAGAGGCAACATTCCTTCCAGGGTTACCGAGACCGAACCTATATACAGCATCCAAACGAGGTCTTGCGAAGAAAGAATGTTTTCGCTATTTCATCGCTCTCGGGTGCTGGTAGTGCGCAGATGCGATGCAGTGGTGAAGTATACTTACACTCAAGTTTAAAGCCGCTGCGGGCAAAGATGTTCAGGTACCTGATCTCCACACATTTCTTCAGAATGCCCCTTACTCAACAGTTTATGGGCCAGGTCCTTCGGCGATAGTAAGCACCTTTAAGTCGGGTTATTTTGGGGGTCAGTTTTTCGCACACCCAGCTACACTGTGGAAGGTGTCCAGTGGTATCGTCCGGTTTTAGCTTCACCTTGGATGGGTAAAGTGGGATAACATATGTCCAGAGCCAGTTCTTTATTGTACATTAAAAATGGTGGGGAACCAAAGAGCGGGGACCAGCAATCACCTCCGTATTTCATGTGGGAGGGTGTCCAATAGCTGACCGGAAGGTTCGTTCAATAGGTAGTAGTAAGACCTGTATTGGAGGACAAAAGCATAGACTCGTGTAGGTTACGGTTTTAGAGACAGAGGGGAAAGCAATGCTGACATGGTTCAAGGAGGTCGGCTCCGACTACCTTCTCCAGTACATAACAAGAAAGATTCCCATTTAAACCTTCGGGAGTATGCTAATTATGCTAACTGGACCATGATTCTGACGCTTCGCCCTACCCCCGATTTCGCGAGCAACATAATGTTTGTCAAAACATTCCAAGCATTCAAACATTCTTCCTTACTGTTGGTAGCATGAGGAGATTTGGGACTTTTGTGGAGATTTCGTCCTGTGAGTGAAGCCAATCTATGCTGAAGAGCCGAGAAGAACTGTGCAGCTGTTTCATCCTTATTGGGACTCATCAGCAGTGCACACCCCACGAAACCCCGAAGGGTCTGGAACCCGCGGCCTCCCGGCTAGTAGTTTGAACGCTTAACCGTTCGGCCACGATTGACCGTTTGTCATTTACTTGGCAACGCCACAAAATACAGATGGTAAAAAATAAACTTTTATCTATCTAAAAATTCCTCAAAAACACACGTGAAATAGCTTGAAGGTGTATCACGATGCCCACGGCTTATATCAACCCCGCCATGATTGGGACCGCATCGCACCAAAGCCAACTTCGTCAACGAAACAAAATACACGCACCTATCTACCACTCTCAGGGGTGAACGCATATCAGCTTCAAACTTCGGCTTCGAAATGCCCTGTACAGTCGTCATTCATTCGGTCAGGTTTGTTCCCAGCTCATATTCACATGGTCCTCCGACTGAATCGAAATTACCCACGACTCTACATCGACCTGACTCTATCCGTGCCGGTCTTTCCGTCTAACTCGGATAAAGCTCTCACGGAAATGCGTATCCCCTATCCGATTGCGGCAAACTTGATGGCTGTTACAGGTCTGTCCAGAAACCGAAGTGTCCCAGTGCAATGATGGCATGACACTGCCATATCGTCTGATTGCATTGTCATAACTATTCACATCATAACCTCAACCGTCACCTGTCGCCCACTCAAGGCCTTGCTCGCAAACGCGGACAATTTTTCACCCGGCTCCAACCGCCTATGGGGCCATTTGTTCCATTTAACCCACCTAGTTTATCGCTGAAATTTCGGCTCGCCCCAAATTTCAATTTCATTTATGGTGTCCGTTCAACCCTATGCACTGGCAATGTTTCTTCATCAAAACTATCCTTCGCAACTTATTCCCCTGCAATAGTAACATCTGTGAGTCTACGTAGCTGCAATATAGACCACATTTTTTGGGCGAAGTTGCCCCTTTGTCCCACTTCGAATTCCTGTTACTTCATCCCCATTTTGGGATTTTGGCAATTTACTCAAACGCTCAAGGTCACTCATCGCCAGCAGCTTTAGTTCATGTCAGCTAGCGAAACTTATACCCCTAGTCTCTGGTACCACAACCACGCTATATTTTTGTATGATGAGCTTGTCTGGTAGGTTGAGTCTTCATCCACGATGTGCTTTTGCTTGCCGCGTCCAGAATTTTCCGACAGAATCATACCTCAATCGGCATTTCCCCTACAGGTTTAGAAATAAACCTTGTATTACTAGTGTGATGGTGGTACTACTGATGGGAGGGTATGCGAGTCGAGTAGCTTCTCGTAAATCGGCTTTGCGTTCCTTGAAAAATGAGATCTATTCCGGAATTTGTGGAGTCCCTTTGTAGCATATGCTTGGATTTGAGCAACAGTCAATGAATATCCAGGAAAGTTCAGGAAGACGCGCTCAAAGAGAAGATGGATATTCAGTTTTCGTAAACAAGATACACATGAGAGTTTCGCTTCCCTGTCCAGTAGTCCGTAACTGGTCAGTTGGCATTTTCTAATGAATAACTCCACAGCGAAGGCCTCCCTTTTCATTTGGTGCCGGTACCAGGATAAGAAAGAAGACCCCTTTGCCATAACCCTTTGAGGAAGGGGATGTTCGGAAATTCCTGGAGGACTTTGAGGGGGCTGCGGGGGCTGCTGGACTGGATACCGACCGGGGTAATTTTGCGGTGCTGAAGACCCTCCTCGGGGGCCGGGCTAAGGTGACCCTGGATGCAGCCAGAAGAGGCCCTCGGAAGATTTGCTGTCCCGCCGTGAAGGAAGTCCTCGCAGCGGAGTTCGACACGCCGGCCAACCGCCAGGAGGCTATAAGGCGGTTCAAGACGGCCAAAATGGTACCTGGATTTGACCCGACCGTGTTTTTCGCCGGCCTGCAGCAGTTGTTGGATCGCGCTTCGCCG